GAATGGAAAATTTTTGGCAGTGTTTCCTTTTCATCTGTCTACTTGTTGAAAGTTGGTTTTGCATTAAGGGCTTGCTATTGGATGTTTTTTTGTTCAGTTATTTATCTGCTTATAGTTTAGGTTGTACACAATGAAGTGATAGGGAAGAGAAGTTGAGGAGAGAATATGGAAGGGTTAGGTACATTATCTTTGCACATGCAACCCCCACACCCAATCTGTTGAAACAGCTGGAGTTCTGCCTGGTCTTGCAAACACTGGAATCAGCAAGGGTAGTCTGGGAGAGGCCAATTCAGTATAAAAACCAATGGCTTGAGGGCCTGTTGCTTACTGAATACATAGACTGGGTACTAATTTTTCTTTGGTAAATTGATTTTAACCAGTAGCTACAAAATTTTTTGTAGCATCTTTCTTCAAGAATAGCATTATATCTAGGTCATCATTTCTCTGGCTAGAAAGCTGTATTCACTGGAAACAGAAATACTGGTCACTGCCTCTCTTTAAACTCTGTAACTCTGGCCATTTACACTAATCGCTACTCATTTTTGATGTGACCTACTCCCAGACTTTGCTCTTCCAAATTATGCATTAGTAGGGCCTTCAGAAACTTTTCCATTCTCCCCACCCTACCAATTTAAGTTCATAAATAGAGGCAATGAGCCTTGAACTTGGTATTCTTGTCCAATTGGTTCACCTTTCGCAGATATTCTTGGGAGTTTGTGGAATGGGATTGCAGCCATTTTATGGTTTCAGGATAAACAATTTCCATTTCTCTTTTTGGTCCTTGGTGATCTTTTAAGTGGATTTCAGAGAGAGGAGTTTTTAAAGTTTGAATGTTTTATACATTAAAAATCTATTTTGCACTGTAAATAATAACTAATTTTTTTGGTTTTGTAATTTTAGTTATGCTACAAATTGGATTTCTTATCATTGTAAGATCTATAAAAATTTGTATATGACCTTCAGTGTTCTATCTTTAAAGTTGAAACTACTTTATGCACAGAATTGCATCCATTTTTTATTTTTATTTTATTTTTTATTTTTTAAAAGATTTTATTTATTTAACAGAGAGAGAGAGAGAGAGATCACAAGTAGGCAGAGAAGCAGGCAGAGGGTGAGGGAGAGAAAGCAGGCTCCCTGCTGAGCAGAGAGCTGGATTCGGGGCTTGATCCCAGGACCCTGAGATCATGACCTGATCCAAAGGCCAGGTGCCCCTTCATCAATTTTTTAAATATTCAATTAGCAGTGGGAGAAGTTGGTAATAAAACATATTTGGAAAGAGCTCCCTCTCATACATGGTTGTTGATTTCTGGAAGTTATTTCTACTTTTATTTATATCTTATAACTTATTGAAAATATATAGCCTTGGTTATACTATCCTTATGAATTTCCTCCCCCAAGGAATAGTTTAATATTTATGAATGTGCTATTGTTCTATAGTCTTCACGAATCTCTACTATTACTAAAAACCAATCAAGCACCCTGAAGACATCAGGAACCACCCTTTCTAGCAAAGATAAAAATGTCCCCCAAATGAAGGAAAAGATTCTTGGGTGATTTTTTGCGTTTCTCTATATTGAGAGTCTGTACTCGTGTGTACAAGTGGATACAATAGACCCTTGATATCTGAGATTCTTCTTCGTGAATCCCTAAATCTGTGCACATGGAAATATTAAAAACCTTACACTGAAAATGAGAAACTCCAACTTCCCAGAAGATTTCCAATTATTTGGACATTTTTTTAATATATCACTACTTCCCAATCAGGTTTTCATGGTGATTTTCTGAAAGTAAGGGTCAAAACTAAAGAGTAACAAAGGTAAATGAGAGGCACATGCTGGACAGACCGGGTGAGTGAGACAGGTTTACACACCAGCTGCGACTTCTACATAGCACCCAGACTTTCTTTTTAGATCCTGGCCTCAGCAGACTACCCAAATGACCCAAATGTATCTTTGAGGTTGTTGGTCAAACTCACTAATCTTAAATTACCAAATATACAATTTTCCAGTTTTGGTTCTGTGGCTGATAATACAGAAGGACTCATGTTTTTGTCAGGTGCTTTTTGTTTTTCTTTTTAATCTCTCAAAGATAAGCAGGATAATTCATATTTTACCAACCCAAGTCTTCATTTATAAAGCTGGTGGTAAAGTTCCCTACTGTCAAATTTTAACACTGGGTTCAGAATTCCCAGTGCAAATTTACACTTGGTTTTCCAATTAAAATGGGCTTTTGTGAGTCCCCTGCTGATAGCCATTGGCTTGATAAAAAGTAACTTCATTTACAACAAGGGTGTTTAGGGAACCCAGTGCAAGACTGACTCTTCTGCTGTTGCCTTGAGCCCAGCTGTGCTGAAATATTAAACTTTAGTAAATTAGGTGAAATTGCAGCTTCCTGCCTGATACAATAATGTCCTTTTCTTTTTCTGCAAACCGTCTTCAGTATGAGTTGTCTGCACAATTCTGCTCTAAGAGAAATAAAATTCAGACTATCTCCCAAATCCAGACAACTTTTCATTTTCAAGATAATTATGCCATATCCTACTTGTCTAACAGAATGCCTCACTTTCAGACACGTAGAACTGGGTTGCTTTATTATTTTAACAGCAGCTGAATATAGTATTACTTTTTTGTGTCCTACTCAGATAAGCAGTCATATTCCTAAAAATGTTGACCTGATGTAAAAGGAGCAACTTTTTCTTTATTGATTAGTACATACTTTAACAGCAGGAGTGAGCTATGGAAGGAAATCATATTTCCAGTCACACCCATTTTCAGTTTTTTCCTCCTTCTTCTCTTTAAGGAAAGTGTTAGTTCCTAGGTGTTTCATTCATTGATCAAACATTTATTGATTGACTATTATGTGAAAAGTTCTGGTTTGTTTTCAACTAAATTTTTTTAATCATTTTTAAAATTTATTTTCAACATAAGAGTATTCATTGTTTTTGTACCACACCCAGTGCTCCATGCAATCCGTGCCCTCTCTAATACCCACCACCTGGTTCCCCCAACCTCCCACCCCCCCACCTCTTCAAACTCTTCAGATTGTATTTCAGAGTCCATAGTCTCTCATTGTTCACCTCCCCTTCCAATTTCCCCCAACTTCCTTCTCCTAACTCCCCATGTCCTCCATGCTATTTGTTATGCTCCACAAATAAGTGAAAACATGTGATAATTGACTCTCTCTGCTTGACTTATTTCACTCAGCATAATCTCTTCCAGTCCCGTCCATGTTGCTACAAAAGTTGGGTATTCATCCTTTCTGATGGAGGCATAATACTCCATAGTGTATATGGACCACATCTTCCTTATCCATTCGTCCGTTGAAGGGCATCTTGGTTCTTTCCACAGTTTGGCGACCGTGGCCATTGCTGCTATAAACATTGGGGTACAGATGGCCTTCTTTTCACTACATCTGTATCTCTTCAACTAAATATTTTTAATTAGAGTAAATGCAGGGTTAGCAGAAAGGAACTAGGTAGCCCATATTTCTCTTCTGGATATAAGTTATTTTTTCAGTGACAAAATCCCTGGCAACAGCTTTATCGTTGTTTGGCCGACTTGTTCCCCCAAAGGCTCTGGGGGTGGGTCTTTTAGGTCAAGACCTTGTGTCTCTAGAAAACTCCAAGTGAAACACAAATATTTTTGTCGCTTGGAAAGCTAACTCATTAAAGACTTTTCAGAGTTTAAGCCTTTCCAAAGTATTTGCGAGATGGTGGAGTCCATGTGTTCTTTCGGAAAAATCTCAACGCTGTACAATCTAATGAGGCCCCATCTAACAGTTATGGGGTTTACAGTTCACTGAGGTTCCTAAAGGGTTGAGTCCGGAGCAAAACTGAGGTTGCTCTGCAGGAGACGCGCGCAGTGTGCTGGAGGCACGGAGGACGAGGATAGAATCGCTTGGGGCAGAAAGAGGACAGCCAGACCATATCACACTGCCATAGGGCAATTTTCCAGTATCTAACCAATATGATTTAGTCCAACATGATTTAGACCAATGGTCTGCTAAGTTTTTCTGAAAAGGGATAGATAAATGCTTTAGGCTCCAGGGCCCATGTGATCTTTGTCACCACTACTCAACCCTGCCTTGTAAACCCAAAAGCAGGTCCCCACAGCTATGTACAGCCATGGAGAAGACAAAGGAACCGGCATGGAGGTGTTCCAAAAACACTATTTGCAAAACCAGGCTGGGGCCAAGCTCGGCCTTCAGGGGGTAGTATGCCAGCCCCTAAAGATTCCCTGGCTCCTGGTAAATCCACTCTCCGTGCCTCTGAATCTGCGTTCAAGTAAGAGACGGTTCCTCCTCCCCTTGGGTACCAGGATCTACCCAACGAAACCAAGTCCCTAGCAGCCTTTGCGTGGGGCGATCCAGCCGAGCGACTACACAGTTTTAAGAAAGTTTTGAAGTGGACTCTTTTTTCTCTTCCAGTCCTCCGAGTCCTTGCTTTCCACCGCAGGGACGCGGAAGGAGGTGCGGTGTGCTTAGGTGAGCTGCGTGGGCTCCGGGTAAGAGCCCGCGGGCACTCCGGAGAAGGCGAGGGCGCACAAAAGTTGGAGCCCAATCAGCACCGAGTCCAGCTCGCGAGTCCCAACCTTCAGATGACCCCGCGCGGCGGCGGCGGCGGCAGCGGCGGCGGAGGAGGAGGCAGCGGTGGCGGCGGCGCGGCGACTAAAGCCCGCAGCGGCTCGGAGCGCCTCCGGGAGGAGAGGAGGCGAGCTCGGCGAATCGTCACTGCCAAGCCGAGCGCCGAGCTCAGCGGTCCGAGGCTGGGCGCGAGAAGGCGAGAGCCGGCACGCGCCTTCTCCTTTCGCCCCCGGCACACCGCGAGAGGCTGGGCCGGGGCGTCCGGAGTGCGGGCCCGCGCCGCGCGCCGTCGTCGCCCCTCACCGCCGCGTTTGAACACTGGAGGTGTGCGTGGCGGCGGCGGCGGCGGCGGGAGCGGAGAGTCGGGCCGGCTGGGCTGCGCTTCGCCGGGGCGGCGGCGGTCGTGCGTGGGGCTCAGGATGCGGCCGGGGGGCGCGCTGCTCGCCCTGCTCGCCAGCCTGCTGTTGCTGCTGCTGCTGCGCCTGCTCTGGTGCTCCACCGACGCGCCCGCTCGCTCCAGGTAACCCGCCCGCCTGCCGCGCGCCCCCCGGGGCTCCCCAGCCGCCCAGCCGCCCGCCTCCGGGCCGCCGCGAAGGGAAGCCGACGGGTGGCGGTCGCGCGAGGGCGGGCCGGGAAGGGGGCGTCCAGGAGGCGGGACGGGCCTGGCCCGGGTGACCGAGGGGGCGACGCGGAGACCAGGTGGGCACCGGCTCCTGCTGGGAGGGAGGCGAGGGCTCCGGCGGGCGTTCGCTGCGGAGCGGGACCTGCCGTCGGGTCCCCCGCGGTCTCCCGAGCTCGCCGTTCTGGTTCGCGGTTCCCCTTCCTTCCCGCCCTAAGCGGCTTCAAACTCCGGGGTCTGGGAGCTGCCGAGGGCGGGGGAGCCCGGCTGCGCGAGGACGCCCGGGCCAGGTGCGAGCGCGCTGCGGCCGCCGAGCCTGTCAGCGAGGTGTAACAACTTAGTTTTCTTCCTGGCGGTGCAGGCTCTCGGTGGAGGAGAGCAGGGACGCCACCCGCGGTACCCCCGCCGCGCTGAGGACGCTCCGGAGCCCGGCGACCCAGCTACCGCGCCCCACGAACAGGTACCCGCGGCGCGGGGAGGCGGGCGGGAGAGGACTCGGCCGCTGCGGGGCGCGGGTGGGGCGCGGCTGCAGCCGCAGGGCTCGCCTCGCGCTGTCTGGCTGGGACCGCGCGATTGAGTGCGCTTGGGTGTCTGAGTGTGCTCTGTGTGTGTGTGTGTAACTCCTCACACTGTGTGTGTGTGCGTGTGCGTGTGCGTGTGTGTGTGTGTGTGTGTGTGTGTGTGTTTAACTCCTCACACTGCCTCAACCTCCCCTGTAAAACCTGGATCTCCACGTAGAGGTTCTTCGAACCGAGGGAGAGACTCAAACCGCTGCACTTTGCCAAAATGGGTGCTGAGGCCCCTTCTCCGTAACCTGGTGTTGAAAACCCCGGAGAGAGGCAGCTCAGCCTGTCTGTAGAGGGATTCGGTTGGTTTGCTTTTTGTCTTTATGCTTTACAGGGCACCCGTGTAGAGATTCACGTTTGGGAGAATTTTATGCACAACGTTCAGACTGTTTTTGTCCTTAGTGAATGGAAGCTTAAAACTGTTCTTTTTCACTCACAGGAGTATTTATCCATGTGCAATAATTATTTGGTTTTTATCTTTCTTTCTGATTATAAAAGTAATACATGCTTGTTGCAGAAAGTTAGGTAATATGAGAAATGTCTTTAAAAATATTCACTCAGAACTGTACCACCCACAGATCATATTAAGGCTTTGGTCTATATCCTTCCAGTAGTTTTTCTTACCTACATATATTTAAAAAATATATTTAAGATTAGACTTTGTGGTCTACCTTTTCTCCTAAAAAATTAGACAAATATATATCATCCCCCCCCCACTATTGCTTTTAATTTTTGGATAATTCATCAGATGAACGTGCCATCTGTTTAACTCTTTGTAGCTCTAGACATTTTGACTGTTTCCTGTTTGCTTTTTGTTTTATTTGCTGTTAATAATTCTATTAAGTGTATTCTTGTATGTAAATCCTTATCTTCATATTAAATGAATTCTCTAGGATGGAATGATAGAAGTCATATTATTAGGTTGAAGAGTATATACATTGTTGGTTCCAAACACGTATGGCCAGTTACATCCTGGAAGAGTTGGTTCAATTTACATTTTCACCAGAAGAATGTACCGTTCTGTGCCTCAGCAACGCTATTCGTACCTCAATTTTGTGTACTGTCTCTTTTCCTCTGCTTATCTTTTGTGAATCCTTTTTTCTATGTTTCCTTCTGTACATTCTTGGCTCTTGGACCTTCTAAATCTTTCTGATTGAGCAATCCCAGGCTCCTGTGTAGCATAGTCATAGTAAGGGTCTGGGGGAGCCTGGAAGAAATCTTGAAGTGCAGGAACAGTCTCCCACAGCCCTCCTATTAGGATTTTATAACATGTTAGAGGTATTAAGAAATCCTAGAGTAACAAAACTTTTGATAAAATTAGTGGCCTCTAGTTTTATGTGATACAGGTTTGTATACTATAGATAGCATAGCTTTCCAGTGATCTGGGGAGCATTCCATTTTTTTTGCAGGCCTTGGTACTGTTTGTTATTCATTTTGACATTGCCCCTTGGGGAAATTTTGAAAGAATGCACTAATTGAATTACCCGGTTCTAGGCCTTTTTTGAGGTAATTCTTTGATGAATTTTTTAGCTTCTTTTGGCATACTTCTCTTCTACTTTCCATGCTTCTTGAGCTAATATAGGTAATTCCTATGTTTTTCTGAATCTGATTCAAAGGCTTTTTAAATACCATTCTGTCATGTTTTTTAAAACCTGTCTAATTTATTTTATATGCCTTTTATCATTTATGATTTTAATTATTTATGTAGCAGGGATACAAATTTTAATCTGTACTACTTGATTATGGAGAGAAATTAGAATTTCTTTTATTTTTTTTAAAGATATTTTTATTTACTTATTTGACAGAGGTCACAAGTAGGCAGAGAGGCAGGCAGAGAGAGGAGGAAGCAGGCTCCCCGCTGAGCAGAGAGCCTGATGCGGGGCTCCATTCCAGGACCCTGGGATCATGACCTGAGCCAAAGGCAGAGGCTTTAACCCACTAAGCCACCTAGGAGCCCCTATAATTTCTTTTAAAGATTTATTTATTTATTTTAGAGAAAGAGAGCACGAGCAGGAGGGGCACAGGATGAGGCAAAAAGATTCTCAAGCAGACTCCCCACTGAACTCAGAGCCTGAAAGGGGCTCGATCCCAGGACCCTGAGATCAGGACCTGAGCCAAAGCCAAGAGTTGGACACTTAACTGACAACCCAGGCACCCCGAGAAATTAGAATTTCTTAATTTTTCTGTAGCTGATCTGATCTTTCCTTCATGAGCCCCACACTGTAGGTAATAGGTAAAAGTAATAATAGTAATGCTAATAGTAGTAAAGATAGCCAACACTTAGTGAATATTTTAATGGGCCAGATATTGATCTAGGCACTTTACATTTATTAACTCACTTAACCCTTAAAAACTACTCAGAGAAACTATGATTATCTTCATTTCATAGTTGAGGAAACTGAGGCACAGAGAGAGGAAGTAAATTTCCCAGAGTCACAAGGTTGGCAAATTGTGGATCCAGGAGTCAGACCTAGGCCATGTGGATACAGAATCCCACACTCTTAATGGCCCTGCTGTGTAACCTTTCTGAGGTGCTGGGCAAGACGGGGGTGTGTGTATGTCTCCAGGTTAAAGCTTAGTCCGATGTGACAATATAAGCAACTCTTTCTGGCAGTATTTATTCTTCCTGGGAGCAAATGCTCCATCTGTCATATTGTTTTCATCATTTCTTTTTACTTAAAGATGACACCCAGATACAAGGGGGAGGTGGGCTTAGATGATGTGTTAGTAGGGTTAAGAGTTGGGGTTCATGGTCATGATAACCTTTGACTCCTCTAATTTCCAGAGTGATGTTGTCCATTTTTCACCTGATGGCTGGGTACCACCCAGCTGATAGCCAGTTAGGAAATTGCAGTTTGTAGCTCATTCTTTTTCTTCGGGTATTCTACCTTATTGGTCCTCTCACTCTATCTTCCTCACTGAGCTCCCACCTGGTGCTACCTTTCTGGGATCTAGTGAAGATTCTCTCTTAGTCCTCTCCTGTGTTGTTACTCTGCAACATTTGCTCTGAGGCTGTCTCACCCAGGTCTGGCTCACCAGATCCACAACCAGTCTCCCAGCTATTTCTGGGACCTGTCTAAACATATAAGAATGGAGGCTGGTTCAGGAAATTAAATAGAGGTCCTCTCTCTACTTGCACTGTGAAGTACATGTGACCCTATTCTAAGTTAATTTCAGGATGGGAGGCTGTCCAAGAAGTGATCTCTTTTTAGAGTTCGAGTTCAGAGTTCGAGGAGGCCAACTTCCGTCTACTCTTGTGGTTACCCTTATCTTTCTGTCCCCAAGCCAGAGCTCTCTTCTTTCCACCTCTGGTCCCAGTTGGGAATGTGCAGCCTACCCCAGTCCCTCATATTTTCTTTTGTCCTGACTCAAACCTCCAGGTTGAATTCAAACCTAAGTCTTTTTTTTTTTTTAAAGATTTTATTTATTTATTTGACACAGAGAGAGAGATCACAAGTAGGCAGAGAGACAGACAGAGAGAGAGGGGGAAACAGGCTCCCCACCGAGCAGAGAGCCCGATGCGGGGCTCGATCCCAGGACCCTGGGATCATGACCTGAGCCGAAGGCAGAGGCTTTAACCCACTGAGCCACCCAGGCTCCCCCAAACCTAAGTCTTAATGGTAATTTGTGGAGACTGGGTTTGAAAAGATTGAGAAAGCTCCAAGAGCTGTTTCTTCCAAGTAAGGTGGTTAATGTGCTCAAGTGGAAGAATGAGAAGAATCTGGAATTCTTTTCTTGAGGCCATAGCATTTCTTGTTTTGCTTGGCTACAGCTGAATATCACCTTATCCTTTCTCTTTGCATTTTTTGAGTCTTCATCGCTCCAGAATCCCCCAAAGGATGCTTTAAAATGACAGAGGGAAAAGTCATGTCAAAGTCAGAAGACAAAAGAGAAAAACTTAATAATAATTTTAAAAATATAATTCCATTACAATGGATGCTTTCTTTTTCTAATAAGTTTTGTCACAGTTTGCTCTAGGTTTGTTTTTCATACAACCAGCTCCTAGATTTATTTCTCAATTTTGGCATGTTTTCCTTGTTGTCACTTCATTTGTGCTAACTTTATCTTTTAAAAATCATTCCTTTCTTCCAACTTAATGCCTTGAAGTGAATGCTTTATTTTTCTGTTTTTCTTTGTAAGAGAATGTTTACTACTATGAATTTTCCTTTGAACGCAGCTTTGGGTCTGTTCCTTAAGTTTGGATACATAGTGTTTTGATTTTCAAAAATATATTCTAAACTGTTTATAATTACATTAATTTTTAAAAGATTTTATTAATTTTTTTTAAGTATACCCGATGTGGAACTTGAACTCACAATCCTGAAATCAAGAGTTGCATGCTTCACTGCCTGAGCCACCCAGGCGCCCCTATAATTGCACTAAAATTTTAAATAATTTTTATCTCCATAGTGATTTAGAAGAATACTTAAATTTTCAGGTGGTTGGAATTTTAAAAAATACTAATAGAATATTCTTTCTTTTAATTTCATTTTTTATTACAAAATAAATTAGTAGAATCTGCTATAATGTCATAAGTTAGTTCTCAAATACTCAAGAAGTGAGAGACTGGACTATCAGCAGTGTTAATCATGTAGCCGGAGCAAGTCTGTGTAACTAGCTGGCTTGGAATTCCAGGGTCCCTCCATGAAAGTATCTAGGTCCTGGTTGTGACTTAGTGCCTATTAGTGGGGGTGTCCATTCTGACTTTAACATCCATGGTGATGATTCAGGCTCTGTGGCTAGCTCAGATTTCCCAGTGAGCAGCAGCTATGCTTTGAATGTTCTGGTACTTACTGCCCATTTCATTGCCCCTTCAGGGATGACTGGACTATGAGTTTTCCAGAGATGTGGGGACCATAATTCTACTTCTCTGCTTTCTTGGAGAGGTTTACCT